TGGCCAGCGCAAGAACAGAATTTCAGGAATTTATTGTTGATACAATTTTGATAGGGTCAACTGTTACAAAAGGCTATAATTTGATCATGCATGTTTTCAAGCAATTTAAAGTTTCAAACTTTTAACTGCTCAAAAGGGAGGAGCAGCAGACATTTCTCCAAAACATTTTTTATGTACTGGAATAAATGATATCTACCTACTCCCCCCACCCCCCTTCCTTATTCTTCAGGCTGAGACGACGGTAGGTATTTTTATGTAGACGACCGACGAGAAAGGAGTTTTAGGAGAAGTAAAAACAAAGAAAACCCATCTTCATTAAAGAAAGAAATAGTAAATCAAAAACATAAGTTATATCGAAAAAAGTTTTTTTCGTATTATGATAAGTACAATACAAGAAAATAAAAAGAACGAAACGATTCTATTTTTGAATATTATTAATTCCCATTGAGTGGCCGATAGTCTATACAAAAATAATGTTTTTAATATCCAACATGACTAGTTCTCGAATCAATAGTATTCAAATCAACTGTATTCAAATTGGCATAGAGATGTAGTACTTCCAGGTTACTTTTAAGATTTAAGAGTGCTACTTTATATCCTTGGTAATATAACTCTCCATCGCCAGAATCCCTTTCCCTCCAAAAACCAAGGAAAATCATTAGAAAAAAGCAACATAAATTGCAGTACAAGAAGACATACGCATAGGTGAAAAAGCTAATGGCGATGAAAGATTGCAATGGGAGAATGCCTGTGTGACTGATTGTTGTTTAGCGGGAACAAGAGTAAAAAGGCAAGATCGCTTGCCACAAGATATATTTGTTTGTTGGAGAACAAGCTTTTGTTGTGCAGAAAATCAGAAAGCATGCAAAATATACTAAGTTTGGAAAGCGAAGAGAGTAAATTACAGATGTTTTTTACAGGACTACATCACGCAAGCCTTATGTTGAGCCATAATCGCCAAAAGTATTGGTAACAATTGGCATCGATGAATCTCTGTGAAAGTGATTTGGTTAATCAATAAGGTCAGAAGAAATATCATCGACGTTCTCAGGTTTAAAGTTATCAGACGTCCTTTCATTTGCACCACAGTCATCGTTTTGCCCTTCACTAGATTCAATTAGGATAAATTCTTCCTTCTGCTTTTGAAAATGCCCGTAGTCCGCAAGTAGAGGAACTGGTAACGAGTTCGGTAGCTTATTATCACTTGAGGTTTTTGTGTTGGGTGTAAGAGATGTAATAGCCGTGTCGATGTGACTGAATTCGGAATCCTGTTCGATTGTTGAGCCATGAAATGTTAACGTTCCTTTCAAGATGTCACGAACCTGGAAGCATATAGTGAAGATGCAGGTTGTCAATATATTGTATCAGCATATCGATATATAAAAGACAACTTTCTCAGCTCATCGTTTTACCTGTTTTAGACCAGCCAAGGACAAGTATACAACATCCATACATTTCTCATCTTGAGTTATTTGTTCTTGTAGATGATCTAAATAATAAGCACATTAGCAAAGACACTATATTTTAGAGGTAAATATGTATCAAGAAACACTCAAACTACCAAGTTACGGATTTTCCAGTTTACAAGTTATCTCGTACAGCCATAACCTCATTTAATGCCATTTTGTAAATAATCGTACAGGCATTATAGGAGTGAAAGCCAAAAAGTACATCAAGCACCAATCAATATTTTATATAAAAAAGTGATAAATGAAAGCATCGTACTTATGTAGGTGTCCATTTTAGAACCACAATAGATCGATATTGACTGAAGTTTATCTACTTCCGCTTTGAAATGAGAGACTTGATCTTGAAGACGTTCATGGTCCTAAAAAATATCAAACACACGCTTGTTTAAATGTTCCTGTTAAATTCATAGACATGGTGATTCAAATAAAATTCTTAAGTAACGACAACTGTTCAACGAAGAGTAAAGGTGTTTTATCAAGTTACTAAGTTTTATACGTACCAAATACTTTTCAAAAAGGCCGCAAAGATATTTTCAAAAAAATTTTTCTCAATCCATTAAAACTATTTAAGTTTTCACGCAGCTGTAGACGAGATTGATTTATTTTATGTAAGTATAATTTTTCAGCCTTTACAAAATTTGAAAAATAATAGAATAAACTTGATTTTATATAGCCACAAATTCCAGAAATAACAAATTTCTCTAAGAAAATAAATTACATGGCGTTTATTCGATTTATCTAATGTTTTTGTTTGATTTAGTCTAGTTTTTGTCATGACTTAGCTTGTCGTTTTTTGCTGAGTTCTATTCAAATAAAAATATTGGCATTTCAACGATTGGTTTTTGCATATGAAAGTAAATTAAAGTGCTTTGGAGCACATGTAAATAAGTTTTCATTCTGCAACAAATATGAAATATTCTGTAAAGTAGGACAAATTAGCACATCAGAAGAAAACAATTGCACAGTTTCTACACATCAGAAGAAAACAATTGCACAGTTTCTACACATCAGAAGAAAACAAATACACAGTTTCTACACATCAGAAGAAAACAATTTCACAGTTTCTACACATCAGAAGAAAACAATTGCACAATTTCTACACATCAGAAGAAAACAATTGCACAGTTTCTACACATCAGAAGAAAACAAATACACAGTTTCTACACATCAGAAGAAAACAATTGCACAGTTTCTACACATCAGAAGAAAACAATTTCACAGTTTCTACATACTTGCTGTAAAGCAGTGATATCAGTTCGACTTGGATGACGAACTTTCGATGATAGTTTTGATAAAAACGCCGTACTGGCAGATGTTCTGTTGGATCTTGGTGACATCATAAATAAATCTTCATCATCAGGATCACTGGGGAACATGTGGGATGACGGGGATGACTTGTTGTTCTCTAAATTGTTCGAAATATAACAACATTGCACAAAATTCTTCGTCAACAGTGATTAAAATAAACAAAATCATGTGAACATTCACCATAAAGAAAAATATTTCCAGACTCCAAGAAATTTTTGCCAGATAGTATAAATATTGAACAAACAACATTACACGAAAATAATTTCGTTTAAAGTTTTTTCTATTTCAGCATTATACTTTTTGATAAAAAAAACTGATGATGATGAAATCAAGATATTTACCCTTCATTTCAACTGGTTTCTTTTTTTCATTATCAGAGGATTTATTTTCCAATCTGTTTTGAGCATTGTATGTATCATTGATTTCCGGTCCTCTCTTTGATGGAATTTGTCTGGTGCCTCGCAAGACAGCCTGTAATCCATTCGTTATTCTTGCATGAAAAGCATCTTGGTTCTGCAATAATTCATTTTGATTGAATGAAGAAGTCGGGCATGCGTATTTGAACTATTTTGTAGATTAACTTTGGCCAATGAAAGTAAGCACAAGAAAATTACAGACTTGACTGTAGTTAAACTATAAAAAGTAGCATGAAGAAAGTAGGAACCAGTAATAGTTCTTGGAGAAATAGGAAAAAACTATTATTTGTGAATATCAAAATATATTGTCTCATATTACACAATGCACCATTAAGTCTAAAGATAGAAATTTAACAGAAATACAAATTGTTCACAATTCCAACAATTCCCACTTAAATTATTCAAAATAGGCAATACATACGGGAAACTCAGGAGCGACAGATGACTTTAGTTGTTCTTTTGCCAGATAATCCATTTTTCTTTTAGGATCAAGCTAGTAAAATATTCAAAATACATTAAAACAAATTCACTTGAGCCGCCAACATCTCAGAGACAAAGTTAAAGTGGAACTATGATCTTCGTGTTTTCTTTCATTTAAGAAAATTTGACTGCGTGGTGTGACTGTAAAAAGAAAAAAATCAATTCGAGGGACTATTTATCTTTTTATGGAAGTTTAAAAATGTCATTTTTTATTGCCGTTTTGTTCCACGGCGTGTTTGAGAGCGTGACATAGATAGGGTAAGCTGTTCACATCTTCAAGCATGTGTTTGAATAACAAATAGTTGGTGAAAGTGTTTTCCCGTTGAATTTTAAAGGTAATTATGCGAAAAAGGTTCGTGGCAGTTGGATCTAGCAATTTTCCAGACAAAAAAAAAGGGGTATTTCAGTTCATCTTATACCATTTTTTGGGGATGAGCGTGTGGAAATTTCACCGGCCAAATCTCCCACGAAAGACGTTGATTTTATTAAAAAGCTGTCAAATAAACAAATAAATATCTCAAAACC